CGAAACTGAATATGTGACGTGAATCATAAATATATCAGCAATCAAACAAAATCTTCAATTTCTCTTCACACAATACAAATGTAACACTTCATTTCAGACGCCTACCCGTGCAGGTCCGTGATCTGCACGGGGTGGGCCCCTGCTGAAAAGGAAAACCCCCCGTAGGACTTGATACGCCCCCTTGATAAATAGATGTAATTTTAAGGAAACCAGCTGCAATGGATCATGGATCCACCAGGAGGAGCCGTGAAAAGCTGCCACACTGGAACTCATGTGAAATAAACAGAGAGACATGTAATCATTTACAAAACATCACCATGTTTTTATTTAACAAAATAATGTTGTTTAATTCACGTTGGCGTAAGTACAAAACCATCGCTATGTTTTTTCATCAGGAAATGCAGCCCGGCTCAAACGATTTTCAATCATCATCCTCACGATCATTTAATGTATATGTTCGCGAATTGAAATGAATGCACTAATACATGTAGTTTAATCCACGTGAGTTTACAACAACAAAAATAATCGCTTTGTTTTTATATCACATCCGACCGGAGGAAAATGCAGCACGGCTCTCACTACNCCTTACCTGTGTATCGCTCACTGATTGGACGATGCAGTGCATGCACTGATGTGATGCTTCTTGACATGAGAGCAGTTTCCCAGCGGAGTGAAGAAAATACATGAACCTGACGGGAGTCACTCCTCAGTTTACACCGTCTTTTGTGTCAACTAATGCATCATTTAGTTACAAATATGTAATATATCTGAACAACAAAGTGGTCAAAAATAATTATATTCATTTTTTGGAAACATTTTCATGATCGCTTTTTTCGTTTTATATTTTAATTTATTATCATTTCCATTAAGTCAGTCATTAAGTGCTATTTAAAATGTTAATTTGCTACATATCCAAACAAACAAACAAAGTGTGCAATCCAATGAATGTTAATCTAACTGGGTTTTGATATATAACATCTCTTTTTCTTCTCTCAATTATTTTATTTATTTTGTGCACTCTAATCAATATTAATCAAACTATTGTTCGTTTATACATTTTAAGAATGGCGTTTATCTTTTTTGAGAATGAGTTCTTATTTTATTTTATTTATTGGGGTCTACAACAGATGATACAAATGTTTGTGTTGGTAAATGTGTGGCAGGGGTGTGTGTGGAAATAACGGGGACAGAGCTGGCTGCTGTCAGACGATCAGCTGTGCAGCGTCATCACAAACGGACGTCGCTTCACGTGACGCTCCGGAGGAAAGGACGTCCCATTGCTCTTAAAACTAATTTCCCTGCTTCTCGTGGTTTCCTTGCGTCTCTCCATGCTTCCCTGGTGGGAGGGACTAGTCACAGGGAAACGACGCAAGTGAGGGACGCAAGGAATCCATTTAACCGAAGTGAGAAAGGCCCTGTCTATTTTCCCCATAAGGCAAGACCCGCCCAACTTTGTCTCTGATTGGCTTACCCTGAAATGTTACCCCGCGTTAACCAATAATCACTCCTCTTTTGTCACTTTCACTTTTCCATGGTACTGTGAGAGGACATCGCTGTATTCGCCTGTAAATTACATCCGCAGGGAGATTCGGTTCAGTTGGATCACATAATGTAACGCAGTGTAACCCATTTAAATCACAGTAACTATAACGGCGTTACTGAATGGGAATAGGTAACTAGTAACGTTATTAGTTACCGCAAAAGGTAGTTGCGTTACAGTAATGGGTTAGTTTGTAACGCGTTAGTCCCAACACTGGTATACACACACCTGATCACCTGAGAGCTGCCGTTTCATTCAGACTGTTTAAAAAAAAACAACGCTCTGATTTTAACAACTCAATGTGTGATTGTTACAGCAGTAATATTAGACACTAATAATACAGTAAACTATTAACACTGTACATATTATTGTTTGCCCGTGGGATTAGGATTATCGGTAGTGAGAGCCGTGCTATTTTTGTTGTTGTAAACTCACGTGGATTAAACTACATGTATTAGTGCATTCATTTCTTTTTTTTTTTTTTTTTTTTTCTTTTTTTTTTTTAAATTTTATTTTAACAGACATTGCTCCAGATAACAAACCGTANTCTACTTTCTCCCCAACTATACATGATGCATTCTTTCTGTTGAAGTTAGTGAAACGCTTCCTCACCAGCACACTGCAGGGTCGTCGCTATCTCCTTCTCGGAGAAGGAGATAGCGACGACCCTGCAGTGTGCTGGTGAGGAAGCGTTTCACTAACTTCAACAGAAAGAATGCATCATGTATAGTTGGGGAGAAAGTAGAAGTACTCAGATCTTGTTCTTGAGTAAAAGTAGAAGTACCGGAGTGTAGGAATACTCTGTTTCAGTAAAAGTCCTGCATTCAAAATGTTACTCAAGTAAAAGTAGAAAAGTATTTCATCAAAATATAGTTAAAGTACCAAAAGTAAAAGTAGTCATTGTGCAGATTGGTCCATTTCAGAATAATATATATGATATGTTTTATAATGATTTATCATTAAAGTGTTCTCAAAGCTGGTAAAGGTGCAGCTAGTTTGAATGACTTTGTATACTGCAGGGTAGCTTGTGAATTTACTCCAGGTGGAACTAAAGTCTGATTCAACACTTGATTATATTTCACATCATTCATCCAGATCTGTAAAGTAACTAATGGTATTAAATACATGTTGTGGAGTTTACCATTTACCTCTGAATTGCAGTGGGTAGCAAAAAATGGTAAAAAAGTAGCAAAAAATGGAAATACTCAAGTAAAGTACAAGTCCCTCAAATTTGTACTTGAGTTAATGTACTTACTCTAAAGTTAAACCACTGCATACGAGATGTGTTGTCAGCCCATTGAATATGGTTTCCACCTTTGGGGAATCCTTGTTCATTACCTTTAGACAATATGAATAAAAAACAAAGTACAAAATGGACAAAGTACAATATGGACAATGACAGGCCCTGCATTACCATGGAGTAGTGTGTGTCCTGCAGAGGGCCCCTGTAGATGCCCAACACAAGTACATCCGGGGCAACATCATCATCTTGAGCCCTATCTCAAATTGCTGCAATTTGGCCCCTAAAAGATTAGTCTGAAAATGACCATGAGAACTAACATATTTCTTAAACTCATCAATATTTGTTATTATCAATGGACTGAATGTGTAAAGTAAAAGGTGTTTAAATGGTGTTTTTTGTTGTTAGAGATAGCTGGTGAACATAGTGGAGCATTTAGCAGCTAAAAAGATAGATGTTCTTCTCTGTAGATGGTGGAGACCAAACTCGAGCTAAAAGAAGAGTGAACATAAGTGTGACATTCCTCAGGTGGACATAAACATGACCCTACATGTTGATCTGTCTGCTGGATGTGTCTTCAGAACAACTGTTTGCTAACATGTTTACCACATTAACTTTATGGGTTCATTTGTCAGATTTTTTATTTAGTGCTTTTTCTGCTGCCCCTAAAGGGCCACTAATGTGGTGTGTTGTTGTATGCTTCCCCTGCAGGTAATATAGTTCTGGAACTCTCCAAAGACAAACACAACGCCAGTCACCTGGACAGACAGCTGGTCCAGTTCCAGAGCTCCATCAACCGGGTGGAGAGCGAACTGAGCGGCCAGATCCGCTACCTCACACAGGTAACAGTACTTTTCATTTGTGCTTTATAACCCTGCAGACATTTCAAAATATCGCCCCATAGTACAAGTTGTGTTTCAAAAACTGTTGACAAAACCGTTATTAGTTTTGAATACAGTTCTGTAAGTGCCTTGGTAGCACAATGTCCCAGGACAGAGTCCCTCTGTCAAATAAAGGCAAAAAGAACAAAAATGTAATCTTAAAAAGGCAAATAGTTTTGTATTGATCTAGTTAGTTAAGATATTTTGTGTATTTAATGTTGAATATATCCTTGCTTATTAGCAGTGTTGGGACTAACGCGTTACTGTAACGCAACTACCTTTTGTGGTAACTAATAACGTTACTAGTTACCTATTCCCATTCAGTAACGCCGTTATAGTTACTGTGATTTAAATGGGTGCGTTACATTATGTGATCTAACTGAACCGGAATCTCCCTGCGGATGTAACTTACAGGTGAATACAGGTGATGCCTCTCACAGGTCCATGGAAAAGTGAAAGTGACAAAAGAGGAGTGATATTGGTTACGCGGGGTAACACTTTCAGGGTAAGCCAAATCCAGAGACAAAGTGGGGCGGGTCTTGGCCTCTATGGGGAAATAGACAGGGCCTTCTCACTTCGGTTAAATGGATCCTTGGCGTCCCTCACTTGCGTCGTTCCCTGTGACTAGGTCCCTCCCACCATGGGAAGCATGGAGGGACGCAAGGAAACCACGAGAAGCAGGAATTAGTTTTGTAAGAGCAAATGGGACGTCCTTTCCTCCGGAGCGTCACGTGAGCGACGTCCGTTTGTGATGACGCTGCACAGCTGGATCGTCTGACAGCAGCCAGCTCTGTCCCCGTATTTCCACACACACCCCCGCCCTGTTAGTACCACATTTACTGACACAACATTTGTATCATCAACGCCATTCTAAAATGTATAACGAACAATAGTTTGATAATATTGATAGCAGTGCACAAAACTAATAAAATAATTGAGAGAGAAAAAAGGATGTTATATATCAAAACCCGTTGATTAACATTCATTGGATTGCACACTTTGTTTGTTTGTTTGCGATTATGTAGCAA